TCAATTGTTTTTGATTATGATTGCTTCTTCCACTCTTTTGTACACCACCGATAACTGTAGAATAAAATAAAAACCCAGAGAACATTGAGACGTTTTATAAAACATCACAAAGACATTCTAAAATTCATGAGACATTTTTTGGAAATATTAGAATAACGTCAATATGTTTTTAAGATGTCTTATGCGTCGATTTATGACGTTCTAAAAACATCCTTAAGACATCTTACAGACATTGCCTTTATGACGTCTTACAGACATTATCCTTAAGACTTGCTTCAGACATTTGTCTGAAAAAAAATAAAAATTACTGATACGGAAACGCGTTGACAAGAAGAAGTATACGAAACAGAAGTTGGAATTACCTGATAAATCGGTACATAAATGATGATGGTACTTAATACATATTTTCAATAACGATTTATAATTGTGACAGATAGTAGATCGTCATTGAAAATATATATTAAGTATGATATCATTTATATACCGATTTATCCGGTAATTCCAACTGCTACTTCGTATTCTTTCTCTTGTCAATGCATTTCCGAACAGCTTCGCATAATTATGTAGTTGTAGAACACTATAATATAATACAAAATATTGGAATGCTAAATTAATTGACATCCATATATAGGTTATATCCATACATACTTTTATATCATTTATAGGTTACGTATTATATTCAGACATATTCAGATTGACCATGTCATGCACTTGGTGTTATAAGTGAAATTTGCAGTCGATAATGTTAAATTGCTACATATACTCCAAAACTTGAATAATTTTCTGACATCTTTCGAAAATGTTTGAAAGGCGGCTAAAAAGCGTCTTTTGGAAAAGTTTTAAAGCTGTCTCGTTCAAGATGTCTTTTGGACGTCTTTCAGACATTCATGTTCTCTGGGTAGATTTGCAACCATGAAAATTTCAATCTACGTCTTACTTTTTACCGATTGATTGCAAATTTTATTGTTTCGGCTTTATGCGCATTTTATTACTGATTTTTAATCTGGTTTTAAACTATCTTATTAATGTTAAAAAAAATTTTTCCTCTGTCTATATGTTCCTGAGGCGTTCTCCATACTTTTTTCTCAGAAACTTTTTGAAAAAAAATTTTTTACGTTTTACGAATATTTCGTATTTAAGATCTTAATTCTTTGAGATCATCCAGCGTGCCAATTGATTGTGAGAAAATACATACTTGTAATTTTAATAAAATTAAAAATTAAAATGAAATTACGTAAGAAATAATTTGTATTTTTAAAGCAAAGAATTTATGTTTTAAAGTAGAGAATAGTACATGTATCCTTATAGAAGAGTCACATTTACGTCACAATATAGTCACAATAATCAATAAAAAAATATAATGACACTGTGGGATTGTCATAACAAAATAACATATGTTACAAAGCATTCGCACATCATGACATTGCTATGACATCACGTTTGTGATAAAGCGGACATTCGCACGTTACGATGATGTAATCATGATTGTTGTGATATAACTATGACGATTTTTGCTACAGGGATGGGCAATCGAGCTGTAGGCAATAATTTTTGTGCGCAAACGAACTGTCGGCAGAAGTGATGTAGGCAAACGAAGCTGTACACAATAAATTTGTAGATAAAAGAAGCCATCTCGTTTTATAAAATACATTTATTCGTAACCTACTTTCAAAATTGCGTTAGCAATTGTTGCGACAGGATGCAAATGGAACCGATTGTGCTATTATGCGACTGATATTACTGATAATGTAACTTCCTTTGTTAATTGCGAAACCTCTACTAGCTTTTATGGCAGACATGGCAATGGTAGTTCCATATGCGCAACGTGTAGCCAAAGGCTTTGTCCTATTAATTATAACTATTCACGGATTTCGATACATTCTGGTGCATGTGTATAAAGATGATTATACATTGCTGCGGTCACGTTCCGTTCTCGATATCGTTTGGCATCACGTGGCAACTGCATTATCTTTAAGCATCTTTGTACTAGTATACAGATATATCTATTTTTTTTAAATTCATTTTTTTGGTGGAACTAAAAGGCAGTTATAAAATGTTTAATAGTTTTTATCTTTATCGAATTACAATTTTTATTATTATTTTTTTTATAAATTTATTAATCAAGTTAATTTTTTCAATTTCTGTACTTCTTTGCCTTTCTCTTAATATAGATTTAAAATTAATGTATGGTTAATGTTTCAACCAAATGTCTAATTTTTAATTAAAAACCAGTGTAAACTTTAATTTAGTTTTAAGTTAAAAAGGAGAAATGCACTTTCAATGATTAAATTATTAGTTTACAATTTAATACATCAACCGTGTTAAATAATTGTTATAAACGAATGTTTTCAACAGCACATTTCTAGATTGATTGCGAGAGTCGCAAATAGCTATTGTAATATTATATACATAGAGGCTATTCCGCGTTATTTTTTCTACGTGAAGGATCTTCAAGGAAATACTCTTTCAATAATATTTTTCTTGTCATCCCTTAGGAGACTTAGAATGGTTCGCGGTAAATAGCAATGACATTTACTTTTACATCGCTACGCTGAGTTGTTGGTAAACTTCTATCATCTGACTATTATTGGTCACCTGTGAGAATGTATTTTCCCGAGAGAAATCATTCTCGTACGACATACAATTTCGCCTTTCTGAGATGTACTTAGAACTACGAGAAGCAAAGGTTTAATCGACGTAAAAATATCAATTCTAGATGCTACTCAAGTAAGAAAAATGTTCGTTTAAATCATTAAATTATTTAATTTCATTTTATAATCTAAAGTCTTTTACTGTAAATGTACGATTAAAAGCAGTGGCGTAGCAAGGGATGGCAGCGCCCGGAGCAGTCCTTTTTGTCCCCGCACCCATGCCTTTTTCGCGTTGAACTATTATTTACTAGCATTTATACTACTCTACTACTTACTATTATTTATTGGCAACCACTAATAGATTAATTAACAAATAATTTATTTAGTCTATTAAATTTTATATACATATGGGTCATTCAACGTCAATACAGCCACTCTCCTGCCCAAAACTGTACGCAACCAAATGTAACGCATAGGATACCAAAATTTAGGTTAAAGCTTCTAGCAAGTTTCTAGCAAGTTTCTAGCAAGTTCATTTTGTATCTGACTCATTGTTGAACGAAAGTAGGTTTCAATAAGCTTTAACATTGAAAAGCTTCGTTCGCAAGTAGCAACATTCACGCTTATGATCAGAAAAATTCATGAGACTACAGTTAAATTTGGTAGTATTTCTGTGAAATCCCATCGAATTATACGTGCAAGAAATGTTTCTGTTGACCATTCATTGGCGCCCTTGTCAAGATGACGCCCGCGGACCGTCCCCTCCGCCCCCCTTTGCTACTGATTAAAAGAAACCTGAAGCAAGTGGAAACGGCTTAAAAGAAAACTATCAATATATTTTGTCTCTACAATTATGCATTTTATAATTTCCTTATTTAAAATTTATTATTTTTTCAATACTAAATAATTGCAAGATTTTTTACTAAATTAATGTATGGTTAAAAAAAAGTAAATTGAAGTATAAATGAAAATATCGAAGATAGCTATCATAAAATATAACTATCAATATATTTCATGCCTACAATTGTGCAATTAATAACATTCTTAATTCAAATTTGTATTACCCTCGTACTAAATAATTACAAAATCTATTCTTTGATGCTAACTGAATGTTCAAACTATCTTACGCATATTACACCAATTGTTTCTTCTTTTAAATATAATTATAATTACTTACTTTAGGCAAGGAACCAGGGTTTTCCAAAATATGCAAACTGTGAACTTCGATCACATGTGGCAGTAGCGGCTTCGGGTAACCGAACACGTGATTGTTGCCCAGAATCACTAGACTGAAATTTTTATCTATGTCGTAAACAGATGTGCCAGGAGTCCGTTTATTAGCCATTCGTTGAGCATTTGGTAGATGCCAGTATTGATAATATAATCTTGTATATGTTGTGTAAAGGATATTCATTATCCGCTCGTTGATTGTCATTCTATCAGTAAATGGATACGTCATGTCTGGATTAAAGTTAGGATCGTCTGGATTTCCTGCCAACCATAAGTCACGTAATAACATTTTTTAAATAAAAAAAGTATTTCAAAAACTAGCTGCTTATAAAATACGGCATATTCAATTGTGTAATGTAAAAGTTTAAAATACGTAGCTTCGAGTTTTTCGGAGTTATTTATAAGTTATATCGCTTTTATTTAAAAAAAATAACATAACTGAAAAGACGCGATTTTCAAGTTATTACCATAAATGAGTTAAACATTGTCTTATCAATCATCAAAAGTAAAATGATATAATTTCATAAAAAAAATTATTACAAGTCAAAAAGATTTAACTCTGCTAGTCTGTTTGAATTGTTTGGCTTAATATGTAGTTTATTTAATACTTTTGAGGCTTCCACAGGTATTTTCTTCATAGATGCGAAAGGGTTTGCGGATTATCGTCGCTTCGTGATCCATTGCTAATGCCAACGTTTCATGAACCTTGCCATTTACTTCGTCAACTTGAAATATCAGTGCACTTCTCGTCCTGATGAAGTGAACGGCAAAGTTCATGAAACATTAACATTAGCAATAGATCACGACACGGCGATAACCCGCAAACCCTTTGACACTGATGTAATTTATTTTTTTTTTAGTAATATATTTAATATTTTATTTAGAAACATTTTCAGTAGTAAGTATTTGTACACTTCATTTGTTAATGTAAAATCTTTTTACTGTGATTTTTTTATTTTAATATTATAGCTTTTTAACTCATTGATTCAAATGATATGATCCTATAGTGAGTAGACGAACAGGATTAAGAATTGTAAAACAAAAATAATATAAAAATTACGTTTGATCATATTAAGAATTCTTTTTGATATTATTATACATTACTTAATCAATAATTTTCTGTCAAATTGAAAAATAGTTTTTTTTCCTTCTTTGAGAAACTTATTATAATTTTTTTAGTTGTATCACTTTTGAAACAAAGTGCAAGGGAGTGATATGCTACAAGCAAGAGTACTCTATTGTGCGATGCGCTCTTTAAAGATTTAGAACTTCTTTTCTTTTATTGCTTCTCTTCGAATGAGTAGAGAAACGCGTTATTACATTGTAAATTTTCTCGCAAGTCAAGAGAAGGAAGTGCAATCTGTTACAGTCAGGTATCTATTTCTTCGAAAACTCAACACAGTGATTGTGTCAGATCAATGGGGAACGTTACTACTTCGAAACGCGGTTCGCCTTCGCAAAACTCGCCTGGCTTTAATTGAAATATTTCAGTAGCAGCCACAGCGATTCATTTCACGGTCTATTACGTTCATCCGGAAGAGTACTTTCGGGTATCTTCAATTACGTCCAGGTAAAGGAATCGAATGGCGGCGAGCCGGCGCGTCATCCTTCGCCACCTTTTCTCCGGCATTCTTCGGGTCAGACCGGTACAAGTTAAAGCACTACCTAGTAATCTATCCTTTTCCACAAAGACTCGGTCTCTCGGATTGCTCGCACTTTCTGCTTTAACGACAATTTACGTCAATTTCCGCGCGCACTTAACGACGTTCGTTGACGATGCCAACCTGGGTAGGTGCAAACCCAGTAGAGACGTTGCGGAACGACTGTCCGACCAGGTTTGCACTCCCAGTTGTTACCTGCGCTAGATGACTTTTGTAAACAATAAAACTGCTAGGCCGACGAAATCACGAAAGTTGTTCGACATGCACGATATGCCCACCTATGGAATCCATTACGTAGGGCAAGTTGCCTACGCTCAAAAATCCAATCAGCACGGGGAAGTTATAGTGCTTTACGAGGGCGTAATAACATTGGTACCATAATTGTTCTATAATGATTGCGTCGAATGTCTTGTTGCTTCTATAACAAGCAAATTCGAATTGGATTTGTTTTTGGATATTATTCGTAAAGCTATATTAAAATTATCATTTTCGTCTCCGCATTTAAAAATGGGACGATGGAAATGTGTTGTTAATTTATTAGATTGTAGAATCTCGTGTAATCCACGACTATTAACATTTTGACTTATTTAGTATTTGAGAATAGATGCTGAATATTTTATGCTTAATTAAAATTTACTTATATTTAGTGAAATCGGTTTTGCTAAAGTATCTAAAAATTTAACTAAATACACATAGAATCTGAAAATAATTTTTAGACAATGACTATCTGTTACAGTTCATTTTTTACACTATACGTGAGAGAATTAAGAGTTTGATTAACTTATAGTCAAAGAGTTAATAATGTTCCAGACATTCTAAAGAAAAAATTCTATGGAGTACAACACCATACATGGATTTAATTTCTGAAAAAGTATATACTTATGTTTTAATTTTATCAATATTTTTATTTGTTGTGAATTTTACGTATCAAGTACCACGCCGTAGAGGAGATCGGGGTCAGTAAACTATAGGGGTAAGTAGAATAATACACGCGTAAACCCGTCTGAGCACGCAGCAGCGACTGCCGCTCAGTCTGCTGTAACATCTCATTGCTAATACATCTATGATAGAAGTTACGCTACAATTTTCAAAAATCGTACACCTAAGTAAACATTTTTATTCTTAAAGTTTTTGTTTTACAATCGTATATAATTATCTGAGATATTTTATTTCCATTTAGATAGTAAGCGTAGTTCTTACTTAATAAAGTCCAACAGATTTTTTTGTTTATCTGTCTTTGTTTTATCGTATACTGTTAATGTTTTCAAAAAATAAACGGATGGGGCTAGTAGACTAACCACAATACAGGGCTATATGACTACTTTAGTGACGACTCTGACAGTATTTACTCCCAAACTTCTTGAAATGAAATCTCACTCTAAAAGAGTGAAAATACAGTCAGTTTTGAAAAAGAGTGAAAATGTTTCACTTCTTAAAAAAGAGTGGCAATATTTCATTCCTTTAAAGAGATTTACGTCTGGTAAATATTATAAGTTTAGTTCCCTTACGTCGAATCTCGATAAAACTAGGCTCATTCGACGTGTTTTTGCACGAAAAGAACGAATTTAGCAAAAAGAAACAAAACCAAGCGAGGCAAAACCTTGAGGCAAAGCTTTGAGCGTATTATCAAATGAATATATGTATTTTTGAGTATGTTATTTGTTATTTAACATATTACTTGACTGTATATATTTTGAGTTATGCAATTAAACAATAGCATGGCATTTTGCTAATGTGGCCCTCTATGGGTATTGATTACTCACAACCTCCTTTTTGAGGTTTTCGTATCAAAATAATTATTTGATAATCGATTGTAACTCTACTGTTAATCTATAGTTTATATTACGTTTACTATTTTTAATACTGAGATTTTTAGTATTGTGAACAGCTTATATGCAGAAGTTATGTGAATGTATATTTATTTGCATACATTTTAAATGTTTTACTTTTTTTTTAATTTTGTAACCAAATACTGTTTTCTAAACAAAACTAATATTTTAAGGTTTTTTTTAATGGAAGGCCACATTATCACTCATTTTTTTTGTTCGAGTCATTACGCAATGTCGCCACGTTTTTATTAATAGTATCCTAAGTAATAAATATTTTGTAGTAACTTTGAGTCCAGAATTGATTCAACAACATTTTAACGAATGTAATTGTCAAGTTTTAAACTTAAATATTGATTATTAACAAAGTTATTGTGTAAAATGTAACTGGGGTGCCATAATACCACCTTCTCCTCTATGATAAATATCCGAAGTATATAAATTTAGTTTAAACTTCGCAGCATATTGGAATGTCGCGAAGACAGATGCATCTTTTTACAACAGTTGGCACTACTAGTATCAACCGTTATAGAAATATAAAAGATGCTCATATTACATGCAGTGCTCATAATATCTAATCCTATCGTATGTGTGCGTGAAATCGGTGAAACATTGGTGTAGTAGTACATAAAGCTGTATTCATGTGTCACATTTTATCGGAAAACAGCGACCTCGTTGGAGTTCGCGCTCACTTTAGGATCCCCTTAGGCGCAACATTTACAGCGCCGATTCCTAATAGCCCATTCGTAACAGACTTTCCTTTATTAATTGAAAATAATTTTATTGGATCGTCAAAATAATTATGTAGCTCAAGCATGATGATACTGCTGCAAAAAATTTTGATATGTTAGCAACTAACTGAACATTCTACATAACTATTTGGAGCGGTCCAACAAAATTATTTTCAGAGGACACTTATTATGTAACTTTTTTATTTCTATCAGAATTGCGTATTTCCGATTTCTTTTATTATTTCCGATTGCTATCTAAATTTTTAGATATTTCAGCGAAACCGTTTTTTCCATATAGGTAAAAAAAGGACTGTTAGATTACTTGTTGTTGCATTAAACTTACGCTATAAGTTTATCAATAGCAGGACTAAATAATTGATGTCTGCATATACGATTCGCTCCCAATAAATTTTGATGAAAAAGCACGTAGGCTCCTATATGTCTACCAAATTATAAAATTACGATTAATAATTTTCTAGATTTAGAATAATTTACTTGTATTAATTTACGAAATGTGATGAACGTATACCTTAATCCTGTGCAATCCTTCCTTATATATGAAAATGACAGGTCAACATTCTCATAATTCGGAGGAGCATCCTGCAAGACAAGAAACATTTTTTTGAATATTTCAATTACAAATACAGAAAATTTTTAGCATACATAATTAGGATAAAAGCACTAGATGTGGGTCAGGCACTAGTTCCGGATTACTTTTTATATTTAAATAATTATAGTGTTTTCCATTAAATGATACCTATACAGGGTGTCCCAAAAAGGTCGGGACCTGAATATCTCGTAAAATATAAGTTTTACAGAAAAGTCTTTCAGACAAAAGTTGTAGGGTTCAAAAAGATCTATTTACTGATCTTATCAATTTGACCTTGGCGTCATCAAGATCAGGTCAAGGTTAGGATAAAAATCATTGATTTTTTAAAAATAGAACACTTTAATTTTGATTTCAGAATCTAATAGCCGATATCCCTTTCTAAAACATTATAATGAAATAATTTTTTATTGAGTACTTTTCGAGTTATAACTCTGGAAAAAATTTTTACGAAAAATTACATAGATTGAGACAAAATCTTAGAAATTCTTAATTTTTTGTGGATATATTCGTAGTGGTAAGTAGAGTGAGGTTTGTTTGTCTTAGAGATTCTTAGTTTTTCGTAGATATTCGTAGTGAGACGTAGAGTGGCGTTGTTTGAAAGCGGAGGATTTCTAGGTTTTTCAAAGAAACAACATCGCTTTACATCCCACTACAAATATCTATGAAATGTCGGACGTATGAGGACGCAGGACGACATGACTCACGAGGCCAATTACGAGAGCCGAAGGCACTAGGAGGATTCCGTGGTGAGACGAGCATAACGTATTGTAAAGACCCCGATTTCTAGATCGGAGGGATCACACGTGTATCCACAATTATATCGTTTAGTTTCGTTGAGTCTGATCATTTTGCGAGTAACTGCATTGCATTTGCGAGCGCACAGCACAAATTGTGCCATCACGCCCGATATCGTATTAATTCTGTTAAATTCGAGTCAACTATTTACACACACACACACACACCCGCGGCTAAGTCATTTTGTATCGTATTGTTGAGTCATATTTTTGTATTGCGTCTTACTGTCGAGATAGTAGATCTTAGATTTCAGATAATATTCTCATATGTCCTAGAATCTCGAAGATCTTCCCTCGTAACAGTTCTCGTTATTCTCGCGGTCGAGCTTGAGGTCGGATTTGTTGACGAATTAAACACAGTCGACTACCATTTTAAGCTTTGTCTCACGATTAATTTCCTTAATTACTATATCAACTGTTTGTAGAATTACATTAAAATTTGGAGATCGCACCGTCCAGAGAGAAGTCTTTTATCTAATATCGTGTATCGAGAACGTAGCTTGAAGGGGCAATAATACCCTATTATTTAACTAGCTTTGTATAACGCATGATCATTAATCTGTCAGCGT